AATAAACTGGTTAAAAGGTGAGAATGATCCCTGCTTCTCAGCAGTATCACTCATTTATAGAAACATTTAAAAATGGTATAGCTGAGGAATTGATCCAAGTTCTGAGAAACAGAAGAATTTATTACATGCCACCAGCCATTATCCGATCTTGACAAACCCGTGAGAGTGTATTTGATGCATCCAGCCTCGAAAATAAATACTCTTCAACGATTGTCTCTATTCCGTCCTAATTTAAATCCACCATTGTAGAGATTTAATACAATTTCGACACTATCATAGCATTTACTGCCGACTTGAACAAGCCTTTCTCAGATTTCTCTGTCACCTAAAGATAGGATGCTGTAAATTTTTGTGGCAATTAACCTTACAGATAAGGATTGGAAACCTAACACAAAATACTTAGGTGACTCGCGTTGTTTGGAGCTACATCTAGTCCTTTTTGCTTGCCGCTCTATCAAACATCACATAATACCTTAAAGAATAATCAAAGCATTTAACTATTGAAGAGTGTTTATACGTAGACGATTTATAGGTGGGGATGAAGACTAAATGAGCTAAACTCATATTGAAATATTAGATATATTTTAGCTGCTGTTCAACATGAAAATGGAAAACAATTGTGGAAATCTGCAGGAATTTTTTGGACGAATCGAAAATGGTGAAATCCAAAAGTTCTGGAACAAGGTATTGGGATAATGAATTACAAGGAAGACCTCTGAAGATAGAATCACAAAATCAACTAATCAAGGAAAACAAGTTAATGACAAAAAGAGAAGTCTAAAACCATTGGAAAGCTTTACGATCCATTTGATTCATAAGTCCCATCACTATTAGGGCCAATCTATGCAGGAAATTTGGCACTTGGGGTAGATTGGGAATCCGTTACCATTGACTTTGAGACAGAATAAAAAATGGATTATGAACTGTCAGCGATTCAGGATGTAAACATTCCGCGACATTACTTCCGAAGACTAACAAGTCGAATGAGAGATATTCAAATGCATTGCTTTTAACCGACGCAAGTCAGAAGGCATATGGAGCTGTGATATACTTGCGATACGTCACGACGGACATGAAATAGGAAGTTTTTTGTCTTTCCAAACCAGAGAGCTCCACTGAAGAGCGTCCCTTCCAAGATTAAGCTGAGGGGGCGTTTATCGGAGCAGATTAGCCTCGAATGTGAAAAACGTTAGAGAAAAGACTCCAGATGAATGTATATTTTGGTCAGACTCTTCTGTTACTTACATGGATAGGCGATTTAAATAATGGAAGCCATTCGTATACATCGAGTAATGGAAATACGAGAAAACATCACCTGAGTCCGGAATTATTGCTCTGGATGAAAATCCGGCTGATATGCTGACCAGAGGAACAAACCAATTCCCCGAAAGAATAACGTGTCTGAACTACGAATATGACATGTGGTGGCGTGGACCTAAGTGGCTATTACAGAGCATCGATTCGTGGCCTAACTTGCAGAATCAGAGATCATGAAGACTTGAACTTCAAAAGGGAGCAGTAGTGAACTCAACAGTTACAGAAAAATTCCCATTGAGAACGAATTCATTAAAAGGTATCGTCATTCAGCAATTGATTAGAACTACTGCGTGGTGTTTAGGTTGCGAACAACTGTAGAACCAATCCACCATTAAAAGAAAGTTTTTTGAGTGCTTCTGAACTACAGATGCAACAAAGGTGCTAGTCAAATGTGTAAACATTCTGAATTTCAACTGAAATAAGTGCCTGCAGTCGAAACGATCAGTTCCAAGTAATAGTAAGGTTTTATCCTTAAATGTATTTCTCGCTAAAGATGAACTTTACGAGTTGGTGGAGACTACGTTTCTCCCAATTTCAGAAGACCAGAAACATCAACTTCTTTACCCAAAAGACATCATTTCACTGAATTACCATAGATCATTATCATAAAATCTCTTCATTCCGGGCGTTCAAAGAACTTTCTCTTATTAGACAATTATACTGGATACCTTCCGGACAGATAGAGTTAGAACGCGAATAGTAAATGCATGACGTGCTTTCGAACAAGGAACCAAACCATAAACCAATGATGGAGACTTACCTAGAGATAGAGTTGTAATAACTAGAACATTCGAAAAATAGGACTGGCCCTTGCAGGTCCAGTTATCACCAAGCCTAATTTGAAAAGATCTAGAGTTAGTTAAAATCACATCGTGATATTTATTTGCTTTAGTACAAAGGCTATTCATCTAGAAGTAGTATTGGATTTGTCTACTGAAGCCTTCTAGCATGTCTTAGAAGGTTTATTGCCAACGATCTAAACCATCATTGTTTGGAGTGATACGCTACGACTCAAGGGAACGAAGCATTTTCTTGATAACTCTTTAGAATTTGTAGATCGGATCCTATTCAGCGCTTTAGTTCCGAAGAAGTATATAACAGGAGATTTATTCCTCCTCTTCCCCGCATTTTGGCGGATTATGGGAGGCTAATAGAAAATCAATTAAGAGAATTTTGACAAAGGTCGCGAAAATGACAAGTTTAAAAAAAACTTGAAGAGCTGTATACATTAATTACACAAACAGAAGCCTTCTTGAACTCTGGACGTCTATCACCTATTTCGGCTGATCCAACAGATTTTCAGCCTTGACTCCAGTCATTTCCTATAGGAGCTCCACTTTTGTCGATACCAGAACGAATGATTCTGTAGATTCTTTCACCTTGTCTCTAGATGGACTTTAATTCAAAACTTAGAGCTAATTTCTGGAACCGTTGAACGTGGAATATCTTACTCATTTGCAGAACCACTCAAAATGGAATCAAGTGAGATCCATCTCAAGGCAGGACACTATTCTTGTTAAAGGATAAAAACAGACACCCATGAGTGGACCTAGGTCGCATGGAGGAAACCTTTCCTGGTCCAGATGGACTAGTACGAGTCGTAGACGTCAGAACTTCAGATGGAATCTTTCGCCGAGCCGTCTCCAATATCAGTCCACTCCCATTTCCAAATGATTTGGACAATTGTCCAACGGGGGCCGGGATGTTTTTCCGGTTTGACTAGAAACTTTCACTATGCCGATGTTCCGGTTTGATTAGAACAAATTTTTCTCTGCCTAGAATGGCAACAGTGGAACTTGACTTTCGATTCGTTATAACGCAGCTAGAACGCTGCTCCTGAGATGTAACATTAGATTCGATTCTAGATTCTAGATTAGATTAATTTTAGTATTTTAATAAATCCTTTTAAAACTAGATTGAGTATTTGATCATAGAATTATAGCTGAACCACCGCTTGCAGAAATTTTTAGATGTGGCATTTAGATACGTCGTTAGATAGTTAGATGCGTAGGCAGCGACATTCAGTGTACATTAGTGCGTACATAAACACTTATATTATACTTATATTAAGTTTTTACTGCTACTTATATCAGTGGTCTTAAATTTCCGGGTACCGTCGCAATTTTACACAATAGATTTCAGTTATGTGTTATTTATTGTAAATGCTGCGCTTAGAATTTCAGAGATATAGATGAAGCTTATGTACAGCATTGATTATGGAAGAAAACGTTAACTGGCCTGTTACCATCTTTTGCTAAAAATGAATATTAATCATAAATTAATTTATTTGATTCAGTGTTAAATTCTGTAATCACAATACATCAACGCCTTAGATACATTCTCATAGCTATGAAAATTAAAATCATATAATTGTAAAAATAATAAAACAATCACTATTACCAAGGAAAAATTTAAATAAATATTTAAAAAATGTATAATTTTCGATTTCTTTTCTTGTCAATAATCATCACGAGAGCATTCTGTAACTTTTTTTTTTCCAATACTTTTATTTTACGAAATTCCTAGCCTATAGCTTTTAGAATGGAATAAATTTAAGCGTGAAAGCTATAAAACATGAGGCATCCAATTTGAAGAACATTGGAATAAAAAACAACTTGCAAAACGATGTTGTTGCAGTTGCCATGACACCTCGTCACGTGACACACACTAGCAACCCGCACGAGTGAGCTCACAAACCGTAGAGCATTTATAGGGGCAAAAGGTTTTCCCGCGAAATTAATCGGTTATTCGAAATCGACATTTAATTAGTAGAAATGAGTGTTCTATGTTGAAGAATTATAAAATAAGCAAGTTTTTAGTAGCATTTAACTCCACCATTTAAATTTTTTAAACATAATTTCCTTTTGATAATTTTATTTCGAATTAGTAATGATTTGGTGGAATATTATGGCATTGGAAATGATCTGTGGAACGATTTTCATTTTTAAAATTTTGGCAGATAGCTGATAAACTTTGACAGGAAAACAGTGCTTTAAAATCAGCTTTCAGTAATTGTTTTACTGAAAATAAAAACTACAAATTACGATGTCTTTTGTTTCTTCAGTTAAATTTTGGAATAGAACTTTTATGAGAAGCATAAATATATCTGGGAGATTCCAGTATTTGGAATGAGAATTTTCAACCGTTACCGCACAGGTAAGTTTTAGATTCATCATCATATTTTCTCATCATATCATAGAATCATATTAAAGAAATTGCACTTTAAAAGTATATGAAGCTAAAAGTATTTCATTATTACAAGGCCATCAGTTATGTAATGAAAGGTAAATGTACTAAAAGTTCGAAAGCAGAAACTTGTTGCTGGTTCATAAAAAGTTTAATCATGTATTTCTTATCTTGAATTTGATTCATCTGCTGATTTCTCCACTTGATGGTGTAATACTAATAAAAATAATTCCATATTCTTTAAAATTATGCTTTATTGAATTCTTTACTCATTAAAACAGGTTTAACTCAGATAAGTAGTTCTCGCTCTAACTTAAAGAAAACATTTTTTGAAAATTTTATAAAAGTTTCCTCAATCTCCTTTCCAAATAGAAATTTTTTATTACCGATATTATTTCTTGTATTTCAATAGAAAAGCAATACCTTCATTGTCTGTTTGGTTAAAAGTTTGAAATAAAAAATATAGCAACTTTAGAGTATATTAACCATATGGGCGGCCAGGGTATTCGCTAAGAAAGCACAAATTTTCAAAAACTACTATGAGAACAAATTATTTTTTTGATTTTAATGCAAAATCTCTCCTAGTATTTTATACGTTCTTACAGATATCACAAAAAATATTCGTATATATATATATATATACGGTCTTACGGGTTTTAATAAAATGCTTTACAACTAGTTCTTGTTTCTATTGCATAATTCTAAGGTAATGTGATTAGAAGTTTGGTTATTAATGATTTCTATTATCTTAGACTGACGATCCAGTTATATGTTTTAGCAACATACAGTGTCTCACAAAGTGATGGGACACTTGTGCTTTACAAAAGGAAAATGCAGTAAAATAAATTAAAAAAACATGTAAAATTTTTTGTGGGTGTGTTTGTACTTAAATTTAGTAACAATTATTACGTAACATACATTTTCTCAAAATATTAAATATTAATTTAATAAATACAATTGTTAGAATGGAGCAAAAATGCTCACATAGTGATGGGACACTTACTTTTCCATCAAATATTTATCCAAAATTACTTTTTGAAAGGTTTAATATTTTGTTGGATTCCTTTTACTTTTAAAACATGATTTAATCTTCTCTGGGATGGATTCGACTATTTTTTTTGTGATTTCTGGAGTGATTTTACCCCTTCTTCTTGAAGCACCGATTTTATTTTGTTGTTTCGAAGAAATGTGTTTGCGAATTCTTGATTCCAATTTTTGCCAAATATTTTCTATGTGATTTAAGTCTGGAGATTGTGGTGGTGTTTTTATTATTCCAGGAGAGTTATACAGCAGCCAGACTCTAACGTTCAAAGCAGTGTGCTTGGAGTCATTGCCCTGGTAGAATTTAAAATCGTTACGATGGTTCAATTTTCGTGCCGAAGATTTCAAATTTTGATTTAAAATGTTAACATACTTGTGCCGATCCATTATACTGTCAATAAAAACAAGACCAACACCAGCGGACGACATACACCCCCATACCATAACTCTTCCTCCACCTGTTTTACTGTTGGCACCAAGTTCTGTTTGCGAAATTCTTCCCTGGGTTTTTCTCACACCCAGATTCTACCGTCAGAACGAAATATATTAAATTTATCTCATCAGCAAATATAATTCATTCCAGTATCAGAATTCTTATTTATGTTGGATTTTGCGAAAGCCAGTCTGAGTTTTCTATTCTTTTCACTTACGAAGAATTTTTTTCTGGCTGCTCTACCGTGATAATCCACAGATCAAGTTACTCTTCTCATAGTCTCGGATTATCAATACTCCATATAATGCTTGTAAATCAGCAGCAACTTAGGAGCACTCACTCTTGGATTTTTTATATTTGGAACGAATTGCTTTACTCCCTTGGATAGCTTTGATGGTCGGCCAGGTCTCTTTTTCCTGAATCATGATTCTTTTTATATCGTTTAATGATGTTGAAAACTGTTGAATGACCATTAACATTTCAGCAGTTTCTGTATAGATTTTCCACTTCATATGCAAATTAATAACTAATTTCGAATTTCAGGCAAGTTTCGTTTCGTTTAGCATTCATGGCTGCCAGAGCTAAAAAACACCAAAATTCCAAAAACAAACTGGAGAGAAATACTACAAACGATTATAAATTCTTGTCAATTGCTTTGAAAAATAAACCCCAAAAATATTTTTATTGTAGTACGTAGTAGATCTAATGGTGTCCCATTCTATGTGAGCCGTTTTGCTCCGCTCTAAAAATTGTATTTTTATTAGATTAATATTTAATATATTGAGAAAATGTATGTTTATGTAAACTTGTTACTAAATTTAAGTATGAAACACACCCACAAAAAATTTTTACATGTTTTTTAATTAGTTTTATTACAGTTTCCTTTTGTAAAGCACAAGTGTCTTTTGTGAGACACTGTAGTATGTAACACAGAAATGCTGGTTTTTTGCATTACTATTATGAATCTTTGTAGTATATAATTTAATTAACAGGTTATGAGAGAGTTTTGGTATTGCACTCAGGCAATGCGGTAAAAAAATGAAATCTCATTTGATGATGATATCGAAGCTTCGTGATCGATTAAAAACATTTTATTCGATGAAAATATTCATTTTATGACGACATGACATCTTTATATGTCATCATTAAAAAGAAGTGCTGAAGGGATAAACTCAAATATCATATCATTTTAGTTTTAGTTTATCAAATATCATATCATTTTAAGGTGCATATCATTTTAGTTTTTAAAATTATCCGCTGCCTCGAAATGTGGTTCAGTCAATATTTTTAATGCACCTGTTAAACCCCTGTCAGCTAAATTATCAGGAATGAGGTATAAATATTTATTACACTAATACATTATTCTATATTTTTAAAATACTGCCTTAATGAGTATTATTAACGTCATAGGTTTGAAGATAGTAATCATTAAGGCAGTATTTTTAACGTTAGTGTTTATTTGAACTGAAGAATCTAGTAAACTTTATAATACTAGATGGTGAGTTTAGCATATCCTAAATTTCCTTTCTATGATACAAACATTACATTTCCACGATACAAATATTAATATATTTACACATGTTTGGTAATTTATAAGGTTTGTAATTAAACTCGTATTGTAGATTTAGCGTCAAAATACTCAAAATATGTTAATAGTGTATACGTTCTTATTGTACAACATGGAGGCGGTGAAAATTGGATAGCAAATGGAAGGTTGAGAGACGTTGTAGTAAGCGTTCATATTCGTCTGTATTATTAAATGATGATGAATCTATATTTATGTATCTGTACTTTCCTGAGGCCGAAGAGTATCTTCTCACTGTGGAATTGTATTACTTTTTTTTTTTTTTTTTTTTAAACACAGATTTTTAATGTAAGAAAGATAGCATTAAGATTTCAAAAATCTGGAGGAATAATTCCTTGAATTTTCTTCATTCAGCAACTGTTCACGAATATGTTTGAAATGTTCACAAATTCGTCTGAATAAAATCTGTTACTGAAATTTAAATTTATCGTATGATATAGCTTCAAATAGTTTATTTTCAGTCGGTGGAAATTGCTATTTTTGGCTTCTCAAAATTTTCTTTGAAATCATTTTACTCAAAGCGATAAATTGAAAACCCTGAAATAAATCTGAAAGTAACTAAAAATTCTCTAAAAAACCGTGAAGTAATCTTCAAAATTTAACATTTAAAATTAGTAATTACTTGCGAAAAGTTAACTAATAAAAGACTTACTTTAATACTTCAGCTAATAAATATTTCTGTGTTTCAATAAAAACTGATGAAACAGAAATCATTTACCTCAAAAACGATTACTAGATTATCTTCACTGTTCTCTATCTCTTCATATTTTTTTCCTTTTTGCTTAAAACTAATTTGTAAAATCAATCAAATACTGAGAAAATGAAATTTGAGGAAATGGCTCAATATGCAAAACTAAAAGAGGAAAGTATAAGATATTTAATATATTAATGCAGTTGCATTAGAACTATGCATCACGCTATTACAGTATATCTTATTTAGTTGATAGGAGGATCGCAAAATATTCCAATATATTCGCTGGAATGGCATTAAATCCAAGGACCTTTAGAACTGGCCGATCAATGTAGTGGCGACGACGATGGTAAAGACACCTAATATATACTGAATAAACTGTTAACTCTTTTGCTTTTCTGAAACAAAATTTAACAGCGTGGTTCTAATCTACAACGGATATAATTTAAAGATGAATATGTGTTATTACGTGTTAAAATTTAGCTAATGCAAGTTTCATTTGGAGATAAGAAGCTTGATTTTGGGCAATCTTTGTAGTAGAGAATCAATATGGAACACGAAACAAAGATGATGCCTCATTTGACTCTGGTCCAATTAAATGAGATATATCTAGTCAATGATATAAAGTTTCAAAATGTACACTAATTTAGTTCATTTTATGTAAATTCTTTGTTAGTTTGAAAAATATGCTAAAATTATTTTTATTTTTATACCAATCCTCTCTCGTAACTTCTGTTTTTTTCATCAGCCATCATCAGAATGCAAATCTATTTGAGTTTAATTAGCAAGCGACTTTATAGTTTATATATATAGAGAGAGATTTGTGCAACGCGCTAGAGAGTAGTTTGTTCCCCCAATCGTTTGCCTCTGTGCCGATTTATATTTGTGGCATCATTTTTGAATTTATTAGCTCATAACTGTCTAACATAGCTAGCACGATATGGTGTGTTTCTTTAAAATAAGCATTTCAAGGCCTTCCTGCTCTTTCTAATTTACCATATCGTCATCATTGCACAGCATTTATTCTCTTCATCTCATTTAAGAGTACAGCTCAAGTCGGCCTTCATTCGTGCGTTTGTTACGAGGCAAGCTAGATGCCGAAAAATTACCCTGAAATGTCTGTTTTAAAATAACAAATAAAGCTAGAGCTGGTTAATTGGGCATTGAAGTTATCAGTTGTGTTGAGAATTTTGTTAAATTAAAGAAGGTTAGTCCAAATT